AGCCTGATGTGGGGCTAGATCCCAGGACCTTGGGATCATGACTGACCCAAAGGCAGACGCTTAACAACTGAGCCACCCAGATGCTCCTGTTACTGTGTTTTTGTAACAAAATATGTATATAAGCTTAAATTTTAACTTTAAAAAGTTGCTATAACCATAAGGCTTTAGGTATTTACTTGGTCCTGAAGATGACTTATGATCACAGTTACTAGTAGCACCCAGTTGGTCACATATATTATAATTTTTGGTAAATCATAACTAACCATAAAAGTTGAATTTGATTGGAAATGTTTTTCTTAATGATGGGGACTAATACTTTTCTCAGATCATGAATCTCTGTAGAACATTGTTTTTTGCTAGGGTGAGAGAGAATTTAACAATTTCTATTCCTTTTTTTTTTCCCCCCAAGATTGATTGATTGATTTTAGAAAATGTGCATGCAAACATGGAAGGGGGCAGAAGGTGACAGAATCTCAAGCAGACTCTCTGAGCATGGAGCCTGACATGGGGTTCAAACCCGTGACCCTGAGATCATGACCTAAGCTGAAATCAAGAGTCAGATGCTCAAGCAACTGAGCCACCCAGGCACTCCTCTTGCTATTGTTTTTTTTTTGTTTTTTCTTTTTTTTTCCCCAAGATTTTATCTTATTTTATTTATTTATTTATTTATTTTTAAAAAGATTTTTATTTATTTACTTACTTGACAGAGAGAGAGAGAGAGAGAGAGAGGGATCACAAGTAGGCAGAGAGGCAGGCAGAGAGAGAAGCAGGGAAGCAGGCTCCCCCGCCAAGCAGGGAGCCCAATGCGGGGCTCGATCCCAGGACTTCGAGATCACGACCTGAGCCAAAGGCAGAGGCCCAACCACTGAGCCACCCAGGCACCCCCAAGATTTTATTTATTTGACAGAGAGAGAGACAGCGAGAGAAGGAACACAAGCAGGGGGAGTGGGAGAGGGAGAAGCAGGCTTCCCGTTGAGCAGGGTGCCGGATGTGGGGCTAGAAGCCAGGACCCTGGGATCGTGACCTGAGCCAAAGGCAGACACTTAACCACTGAGCCACCCAGGCGCCCTCCTCTTCCTATTGTTTTAATAGACATAATAGCCAGAAATTTTATTCACATAGCTAAGTATGTGGGAATGGAAGTCTTATTATGGCAATATCCTCCATTCTTTGAGTTATATGTTAAGAATTCCATAAGTCACGAGTGCCTGGTAATAGTTTTCTAGTAACAGTTTTTTGGTAATAGTTTTACTATTTTTGGTAATAGTTTTCTGCTGTTACTTGGCAATACTGTCTGTCTGAGATCTCCCTCCTGCCTCTGACAGGGATATAACTGCGCTGCCAGGTGGGCTGTGAGGGCCCGCCATTCCATTTGGGGTCGGCACAAGGCAGACTTGAGGGGTGAGAGAAGGAAAGTGTAGGGGGAATGGGGGCTGACAGCTTTTAATGGAGCCCCCCATCATCTCTGCTGTCTATAAGCATAGAGCACCTTGCCGTACTGCTTTCCTGTACCTTCTTTGGGCTGTGGTTTATTCTTCATTATGATCCCATTTGCTTTCATTTTCTAGGATATTCCTTGTAATTTCTGGTGGATTGGATTTCTAGGTCTTTTATTACTTTATTCTTTTAAGCCATCTTCCCTGCCCCCCCCTTTTAAAGATTTTATTTATTTACTTATTTGAGAGAGAGAGAAAGAAGGAGCCACAAGTGCATGAGCTGGGGAGAAGCAGAGGGAGAGGGACAAGCTGACTCCACGATGAGCGTGGAGCCCGACTTGGGGTTCAGTCCCACCACCCATGAGATCATGACCTGAGCCAAAACCCAAGAGTTGGACACCTAACTGACTGAGCCACCCAGGCACCCTTACTGTTTTTATTAAGTAAGCTCTACACCCATTGTGGGGCTTAAACTCAGACTGCTTTACTGACTGAGCCAGTCAGGCGTCCCTCCTCTTAAGTAATTCTTTAAAGTGCTCAATTAAAATAGGACCTCATGTCTGTGAAAGTTTTCCTTGTTATCCCTATCTGGTCCCCCATCAGTGGCGTTTGGTACATATTCTTTCCCTTTTTTTTTTTCTGATTATTTGTGTGTGCATGTGTTGTGTTTGTGTGTTTTATAATGCTGTTATGCCATATTTGCTTTTCTTTTTTCTTTTCTTTTTTTTAAGATTTTATTTATCTGTTTGACAGACAGATTACAAGTAGGCAGAGAGGCAGGCAGAGAGAGACGAAGGGAAGCAGGCTCCCCGCTGAGCAGAGAGCCCCGATGCAGGGCTTGATCCCAGGATTCTGGGATCATGACATGAGCCGAAGGCAGAGGCTTTAACCCACTGAGCCACCCAGGTGCCCCATGCTTTTATTTTTTTCTTAATCTTCCCATTTCAGCACATGAAAAGCTACCTTATTTCTTTTAAAATTACATATTATTTCACAATTTAGCGAATCTGTCAATGGGCATTTAAACAATGCTGTAATAAACATCTCATTAACTTTCATTTTTGTGTACTTTTATGTCTTTCTCTGAACTACACACCTAAAATGGATTGTCAAGTTAAGTATTTTAGAATTTGATAGATTGCCAAATTGTCTCATAAAATGGATGTTCCAATTTATATTCCTCCAGTGGTATAATGAGATTACCTGTTTTCTTACACGGTTGCCGACAGTGGCTATTATTAAATTTTAAAAAGATTTTATCACTCTCATGACCAGAAGATGGTACTTTTTATGATTTGCATTTTCCTGTAATCTGCATTTTATTTTTTTACAATCTGCATTTTAAAATGAGGCAGATTTTTAAAATACGTATTCTTTCTTGAGCTAGGAAGAAAAAATTTTATAAGCTTACTTTGTGGGAGTAAAAGCAGATTTATGCCAAACATGTTCTGTCCCATATTTGGCATAAATATGGGATAGAACTGTTGGCATCTTTCTGGAGAAGTAAAACATAATACTTGAAGCCCTAGCATGGTGCCTTGTGCATAGTGGGTATTTAATAAAAGTCTATTCTCTTTCAGTCTTTTATTCCTTTATCTTGGAGGTAATTCATATTCTCCTTTAAGTCTACCTTGTTCTTTAGGTTGTTCTGTGTAGCCATTCTTTTGTTATCTGAGATAACAGAATCAAAGATCTTTTGTGAGTTTAAATGAAAGATTTCTTCCTTGGATTTGTAGGAGTCAGTAGTTTGGGCAGCGTAGTTTCTTGTCTTTCAAAGTAAAATCTAGCATTTTTTTTTTTTGTAGCATACATTCTAGATTTTTACTTGTCTTATGAAAAATATCTCTGTTTGGTTCTTGACAGTGACTATTGGGAAACTTGGGTTGGCAAGCTGATGGCAGGGCTAGACCAGTTGCTGAAATGTTATAGCCAGAGCCTTTAAGAGAAGGTTGTATATCCTAGAACAACCAAAGCAATTTTGGAAAACACCCAATTAAGAGGACTGTCATGACCTCTGTTAAGGACTGTACAAATTCAGTAATCAAGGTGATATAGTACTGGAAAAATGAAGAGGTTTACAGGTGGTGGTGGAATAGAAGAGAGAGAGTCCAGAAATAGATCCACACATGGTATGGTAAATTGATTTTTCAACAAAGGTGCAAAGGCAGTTAAGTGGAATAAGGACAGTCTTTTCAACAAATGATACAGGAATGATTAGATGTCCATATGCAAAAATATAAATCTAGACCCATATTTTCTGTCATACTCGAGCTTTATCGCCTAAATTTGAAAACTTACAGAGTTCTAGAGGAAAACATAGGAGAAAATCCTGTAACCTTGGGTTAGACAAAGATTTTTTTAAAGTTTCTAAATTTCTAAGTAGGTTCCACTCTCCACACAGAGCCAGTGTGGGGCTCGAACTTACAACCCTGAGATCAAGACCTGAGCTGAAATCAAGAGTCAGTCACACAACTGACTGGGCCACCCAGGGGCCCTAGACAGGGATTTCTTAGATACTTCACTGAAAACATAAAAAAAGCATGAGGGGAAAAGTGGAAAATTAGTGTTCATCAGAGTTTAAACTTTTGCTCTGCAAAGACACAGCTAAAAGAATGAAAATGCAAGTTATAGGCTGGGAGGAAATCTTGCAGAATTCATCTGATGAAGCGTTGGTATTTAGAATATGTAAGGAGTCCTCAGAACTAAATAATAAGAAAAAAAACAACCCAAATAAAAACGATGAAAAAATTTGACCATTCAATTCACTAAAGAAAGGGATGGCAAATAAACATGCAGAGATGCTCAACATCTTTAGTCATTAGGGAATGAGACACAACTATATTAGAACAACTAAGATTAAAAGAAAAACAAAAATAGTTCTCTGCTTCCAGAGGTGATCCTGGTGACCAGGCAATTCTCACCCTCAGGAGCAGTGAGGATGAAACCCTGGACTTCTGATGTAGGAATTGTTTTCATGGCCCTGTGCCCTTGTAGCTTTGGATTTGACTCACAGACACAAAACCTATGGTGCTTTGAAACGGTTTTGGAGTGGAATAGAATGGTGATCTTCGACAGTTTACGGAACAGAAAAGATTTCAGCTTGCCTTTTTTTTTTTTTTTTTTTAAGATTTGATTTTATTTATTTATTTATTTATTTATTTATTTATTGTGACAGAGATCACAAGTAGGCAGAGAGGCAGGCAGAGAAAGAGGAAAGGAAGCATGCTCCCTGCTGGGCAGAGAGCCCGGGGCTCAATCCCAGGACCCTGGGATCATGCATGACCTGAGCCGAAGGCAGAGGCTTTAACCCACTGAGCCACCCAGGTGCCCCTCAGCTTGCTTATTAAGAAGGGTTCTTCTGTAGTGTTTGGGTATCGCAAAATTGAATGACTCAGTTCTGTTCTGTTTCTTGATTTCCTTTTATTGGCTCTTTACATTTTGGACAGATTTTTACCTGCTTTAAGCTCATGCTGTGAAGAGGGACAAATTCACCTGGTTACATAGCGCTGAAGCTGTTTTCCCTGTTGCTGTCTCCGTGGTAATTACTCTTTGTGGTTGTTGCAGGTGCTCCCTCCAAGCCAGCAGGGCTAGCCAATGGTGACCATGGAATAGAAGGGAATGAAACCACGGGTAAGTGTTTCACCGGGATTCCCCAGATGCGGTTCTGAAATAGTCGCAGTAAACACCTTGATAAGGTCCTTTAAGGAACATGGCAGTGAATCACTTGAACTATTTCTAAGGGTATTGTTCTTGTTGGATGTATTCAAGTCCAGGGCCCTCTGCCACGTAACATCTCCAACAACAGAAAGAATGAATGAATTTCCTTTGCTGTTTCTTGAGTATTTGTTGTAATTATACCACACAAGAGCTGGATCAAACTTAAAAATACGCTTATAGATGCAGACTAATCATCATCAGACTATGTTACATTGGAGGCCTTTGGCCACTATGGCTCTCTATACAGGCTCTTCTCTCCTGCACTTATTAGCTTGCTTTCCATGCATGGCTCAGTGTTAGGGACCCTACAAATTAAAAGTTCTTCCCATTTGATTTTGCCCTCAGTCTTTTATTCTTTTCCCCCATTAACTATTACTTCTGAAATCTGTCTTTAACTTAATGCCTAGCCCATTAACTAGGGCTTTGATACTCCCATCAGCTAGCCCTGAGCCCCTGTGGCTTCCCACCTCATAACTGGCACCTCATTACCCCTGACCCCTGTATTTGTCTTGAGCAGAGTTCTTGAAGCAGTAGTGAGGTCCACAGGAATGTTGTACTTTGCAAATCTTCTTCTGTCAGGTAGCTGACAGGGGAGTCAATGTCTATTTCTGTAAATAACTGCACTTACTTTGCAGTTGTGATCAGGCTGACACCGTTGACCCAAATGCACAGACATCTAACAGCCAAGTAAATTGTTCTCTGCTGCAGAGCGTGCTCTTAACTGGGGCATTACATTGATTCACACTACTGCACTGGAGGCAAGCGCTAGATACAATTGTGTCTGTGTTTCTCCTGTAAGACTGCCTCAGCCTAGAGAAGACTTTCCTTGAGCCACTGTATGATTGCTCAGTTTTTTAAGGCTCCCAGAAAGCCTTCTATTAGTAAAAGCAATTACTCCAGGATTTATTCTTTATTCTGTGACCTTTGGAAATGTTGTATGTATCTTTGGACCTCTGATTGACTGATGGCTGGTTTCCATTTGTTGTGAATGTTAGTTTTGCCCAGTGACATTAACATCCTTATTAGCAGCTCATAACTCAGAGACTCTTCAAGGTAAAAGCAGCCAGAAGTGCTACCTCATCTTCCAGTTTTGTGAACTGAATTTTTTGTATTTCTTTGATAATCTTTGTTGTGTTATTGACTGTCCCTGTGCCTGCTTTGAAAGCAAAGTCATCTATGTAGTATAGTTTTAAGGATACATTTATGGAAATGTCCCTGTGATTAAAGGAGAAGCTTGAACATGAACTTTTAAAAAATGAGTAAGTTAGCTTTCTTTAACAAGGAGGCAGTGCCAGGGAAAGGAAAGGCTTGGAGGGGATTGACTTGATTAGCCAGTTGGAAGAGTGGATGCCATTTTCATCCAGAAAAGAAATAGCTATCAAAACTAGGGTAGATTTCTCCAGCAAGATGTCAGGTATGACCAGAAGAGACTTTGTGTAGTAATTGCTTCCCACGGCCAACTCTTAGAGCACAGAAAAAAAAAGAACAGGAAAAACATATAGCCTGGCCCTTACTGTGTCAAGACTATTAGTTCCCTGATGCCAAAAAAGAACCCAGATATTTATGAACTACCCAACGACATTATGGCAGCAGGTAGAATATAGTTTGCATACGGCAAGATGTTCGCATTCTGAATTTGACCACTTGAAAATATGCATGTTTCACTGGGGATGGGAAGGAGTGGGGAGGGGACAGAGAATGCATGTTTCTGGAGCATGTTGTGACCTCATTCTAATTTGGCCATTACTAAACTAGAGCACGGAGCTCATTGCCATTTTGAAAATTCCCATTTCTGTTTCGTTCAGGATGTCTCTAGTCCTAATCGCAGACCAGCTCCACTGGTAGCTTATAAAGGGTTTATGAGCATCTTGCTATGTTGAACTTGCTGTTTACTAATGACCTGTGCTTTTCTGCCCTTTCCTTCCCCTTCCTACTTCTTCCTCCCTTTCTATTTTTCTCCTCCTAGAAGCCTAACGTGTCTCTCCACACTGGGGCTGCTGCAACACCAGACCAGTGATCTTTCCTAAGCACCGTTACACTTCTAAAACCTTCAGCATTTTGCAGAGCTTTGCTTTTCCTTCCTGGACACGGTGTAGAAGAGGCGGAGGGTAGTTCTTCGGGGCCTTTCTGCTGATGCCTGAGCAAACCACCTGCTTCCTTTTGTGCTCTGCAGGGCTTGATGGAACCTCCTTTCCCTTTGTGAGCACAAAGTACAAGATGAATTATTTTTAATTTTTAGTATTTTATAAAGGTCATCCAAGGTCTTTTATTTCTTGTTCTCTTTTAAAACCCATTTTATCATTTTATTCATTCTTGCGTTTTTTCTTTTCTTTAAACATTTTGAGTTGGCCTTTTCCATTTGGTTTTCAGATCTTCATAATGAATCAGGATCTCATAACACCAAATGAGAATGTGTGCTTTCATAAAGGGATTGAGTCCACCAGTACTGCAGTCGACCCTCCCTTTTCCTCCCCCTCCTCTCTTCTTCTGTGAGCTTGCTTTTAGGGAAGGGTAATCTTTCAGGCTACCTATGTATCTCTCCAGCTTACTAAAATCTGAATGGCGATAGCAATTTTAATTTAAAGTTTTCTCCTTTAGAGTAGCTCTGATTAAACTTTGAAAAGCATTTCCTCAAATTAAACCATATTTTGTTATTTGCAAGTTGGGCTGAAATGGTTTCTATGACGAAATTATGGTTTATTTGTCTAGAGTCTTAGATTCTCTTGAAAATCTGACAACCTTTTATTGTCTCTGAAATTTTATAAGCAAAGTTACTTTCATAACATGATCATGAGCTATCAAAACAAGAACTGAGAAGTTAAAATGCAACCCTGTATTGTCAGACTACTGGGATATTGATACAGATAGAAAACAACCTCTCGTATAAAAACATGAGAATGAAAGTACATTGCAGTACACTGAAGAACCACAACCAGCTTATCTGTTTTCTAATGAAATGGTTATCAGATTGGACTCACATTCGGTTCAGTGTGAGGATCAAAGGATCAAAGGATCCCTTTGATCTCTGGAGCAGCATACCAGTGGGATTGTTGGACCACATGTGAAGACCTTTACCATGAACATTAGCATTTATACTCCGTTGTATTCTGAGGGTTGTCCCATTGGGACTTTTTCATTCTCACTCCTCATTTTCCCACACTAAGAGCTAAAAAACCTGGAAGAACCATTTGGAAGAAGTACTGCAGAAATTTTCAGATAATAAGCTTTGATTGGATTTTGAGAAATAGAATATAAAACCTGGACCATGTTTTGAAGTCTTAAAGGAGTTCTGGTTTAAGATCCAGAATGAGAAGTACTCTCTAATTTTCTATCCTCTTACTGATTGTGGAGGTTATCACAATCACCAAGTTATTGTTTCAAATTAAATAATATTATTAATATAAATATGAATATTAATATTTCAAATTAAATAATTGGCCATATATTCTGAGGGAGATTTTGAGATGTACATTATTTTAGGTCCTCTGACATAAGACTGCTTTTGAGATGGAAAAATCAGAATATTATGGAAGTTTCAACAGAGTCCCTGTGACTTCCGGAATTTAGGAAGCATTCATTCCCTCTTCTGATCATTAACAGGGGTCATGCTGCCAAGAATTCCTCCTGTGAGTTCTTGGAGAGAAGATTCCCAGAGGAGGCACATTTTAGAGGGAAATGCTGATGTTTCCCTTCTAAGCAGTTGATAAAATATGAAAACTCTTAACCACGGGAGAGCACCCATCAAATAGAACATAGCATTTTCCCTTTGGTGTGCAGTTGTTTGGTATGTTTCTTGGTTCTTTGTGTGTGGTTGGTTGGTTTGGCTTTAGTTTTTTGGCTCGGGAAATTTTCAAACTGGTAGTGCTAACTTTTTAAGGATCATAATTGACATTTTTTCTATCACCTCTAACCGGTCTCTACAGCTTGTCTAAGTGACAGGTGTTTGGAGAAGCCTGGGTGCAGCTCTGCTCTGGCAGTGGTCAAAGGGACACACACTCCATTATTACATTGATTTATTTCACTTTTATTTCCATTTTGCTGTTTTTTTGCTTGACTTTTTTTTTAAATTTTTTAATGGAATTGAAATTTTCTACTACTAGCCAGCTAAAATGTGGTATATATTGTTAGCTTTGTCTGTTTCACTAGGATGTTTCATTTTATTTTGCATATAGCTTTGTATAAAGCAGCCAGTGCTGTAAGGAAATGCTGTGTTGCCATCGTGATCACGCCCAAGTGTGAGGTTACCAGACTGGTCAGGGTTGCTCTGTTGAAATATGATATTTATTATATATAATCTCTCTCTCTCTCTCTCTCTTTTTTTCCTGTTTCGGCCCAATGTTGAAGATGTAGAATATTGTTTACAAATAATATTTTATATAACTTCGTTCATGCACCTGAGTTTATATTTTTTGTGACTTCAGACTTTAACAGTTTGTATATTGGGGCATTTTAATGTGATCATTGTGCTGAATAAATTACACTAATAAACATCTTACATTAACACCTTACAGACTGGATTTTGGTTGGAGTCTTAATTATTGAAGTATAATGTGACTAAGACATAAGTTTGGCAAATAAAGACTCTTGAGGAATGAGTTCTTGGTCTAACTAAACTTCCAATCCTACCCATAATAATTTCATAATTGTGTGGACTTTTTAGTTTTTGCCAGGCATTTTCGTTTTCACTTACAGTGTTGTTTTTGATTCTCAGAGTAACTCCTTTTTATCTACAAGCCCAAATGACTGATATTTTATAGCATCTGGTGAGAAAAACAGTTGGCAGAGTGGCAATATGCAGTTAACCCAAAAGAGTTTCATGGCGTATCAATTATTGTTAGATGCCTTCTAATATTACATGTATGTTTAGTTCAAATTCACGTTCATGATCTTCCTAAAATACGTCCTGAATTATC